TAAAAAATTTTTTTCTTAATCGAACACTTACACTGACTGAAACACTCCGTTCAAACATTCCAGCTCCACCCATATAGAGAAAAGTGCATTTTACAAAAATTTAAAATCTGAGTGTATACTATAAAACTCGAAATTTCTATCGACTAGTTGAACGAGAAGAATTTTAGACGTAAAAATAAAAATATTTGACATGTGAGGAGTGCAAAAAAACAGACCTTATCTCTCTCCGATAGCGCATCGGAGATATCAACAGATATCGCATTATCGGTGTCAAGATCCACGTTGATTTCTTCAGTACGATGCTGCAACATTAGAATATGGCAGTGTTAGGGTCGTGAATGAGTCAATGACCAATGCCGAAAAAGAGGATCGATAGCAAACTGATAACAATAAATATGCGCCTATTTTACTTTGCATACAAAACATTTGAATGAATTTAATATCGGCTATTGTCTAAATTGTACATTGTTCCTTCCGTTCCCATTTCCATAGGGCGTGCACGATTGAGCGAGCAGAGTGCTGCCTCATAAATAAGTTGTGAACGACCAACTCAACAAAGTTCTTCTGACTGAAAACCCAAAATTCATACTTACGATAACAGATAAACCATAAGGGAACAACAACGGCCGAAAGCAACTTAAATGCTTGTATCGCATCCTTTGAAACAAAAATCTAGAGTACAACATCACTTTAAACTTCAAAGTTAACATGCAGTATATTAATTAAAAACAAAGATCATCAGTTTAGTTTTTTTTTTCTACCCTGCTTCATGAGAGAGGGCTGCGATGGCTCAACACAATAAAATTACTGTAAATTGGGTGGTAAAAAGATCTCGTATTTCAGGATGTATGTATTATAAATTCAAACGCCGATCAATCGAGAAATGAAGCTAGAATTTTACATTTCACATTCTTCAAGTTCATCTTTCACAAAGGAAGCTGCTAATAGTAAGATATTATATCCTGTTTGTACTCAAGAAAGACGCGAACTAAGAATCATAACGCGATGATGTTCAACCTGAGCTCTATGTGGCATAGATGCCCTCTTTGTCACAATACAAATACCTAGAAATTCTTAATACAAGCAGAGAAGTCATCTCCTAAAACCATAAGTAAAATGAACGAATAAAATGGAAAAAGGTAAGTGTTAAATTTGCAACCTTTCGATATTTAATGTCTACAAACTTTCTGAAACGTGCTATCAATTCCCATTCAAATCCAGCTGATAGCAGTGCGTTCTTTTGTGTTTTCAAATAATCGATAAGTAATTTCGTAGAAACGTTAGGAATGTAGAGACCAGACATACATTTTTAAAGCTCACATTCAATTTGAAACTTATTTCCTTTCAGGAATAGCAATTTTAAGGATCTACCGTTCTGATGATGACAGAGAGAACGCATTAGAAATCAATAAGAGATGCAAACATGTTTTCAAGACTTAAAATCAAATTTAAACAAAACCTACGAAACGATTGTCGTTGGCGATGTTTCCAGGGCTGCTTGGAGCATTTGTATCTACATCGACAAAACCATCAGTAGACACCTCGACCTGTGCCGGTTTCGACGAAGATGAAGAAGACGCAGGTGGTGGTGGCTCACCACGGACCTGTTCGTTTCCGTTCAGAGGTTCATCTTCGAGTCCTTCGAGTGGATTTTTGAACACCTCTTCTCCGGACAACATCCCACTAGAATTTTATTGTGAACCCTGCAAGGATATAGGGATACAAAACAGCTTGAAACGCCTTAGAGTACCACTGATGAAGCAAAGAGATCGCAGAAATTTCGAATTCTGTAACTTTACTGTTGCTTGATAAAGTTGGAGCGTAATAAATGTTTAGACGTGAGTCTACAAAACACTGTTTTATTCGATATTTCCATCTCATACCGTTGCATTAAGGAGTAGAAAAAGACAAAGACGCATCTATCTTTGTCGTGCCGGCAATAGGAAAACAATAGAATTTGTCGAATATAAACTCAATTGAAAATTTTTGCATATATCTTTTTAGATGTAA